ATTTGTACCTTAAAATATAAATAAAAAAACTCATAAAACAATATATTTTAACTAAAACTCTAAAGTAGGAAATGACGCGGCATTTTCCCCATAATTTATTTATTAAATTTAGCCGAAATAAAAGCCTCAAAATTCACGATAATTTCGCGTGGCAACTGCAGCAAACATCTCGTGGACCCAAGAAAATGAATTCGATTCGCGACAAAAGGGATCCGATACGATTACCCGCCTGTGAGGCAATCTGTCACGGTCCAGTCTTAAAGAGATAAGCACGAACGTCTAACTCCCGGGACCCACAGATCCACATATCAAATAGTAGAACCTAAAAACTTCAAATCAACGGCAAGGATAGGATCGTACACACCGTGAAATGTTTTTAACGGTGATTGTGGAACTCGGAAGCGGTGATTTTCAGATTTACCCCAACCATGCTTAATTCTAAACTTAACCACGGTTAAAATTGCAGTTTATATTCAAGAGAACCACACCCTTCTGTCTTCACTTCTTCTTCTTAAAACGATGTCCCAAAATGATGATCGGAGAAACCACCCGACCGCCGAATCCCACCGTTCTTATACCCGCTTGGGACTCACTCAACGAGCTGCCGGGCTCATTCTCTCCTGTTGGGTTCAACAGCAATGCGAACAGTCCCGTCGATTACTTTGCTTCTCTCCACCGTTATCTTCCGTCGAATGACTACGAGTCTGACTCACTGTGCGAGGACTCCGATTTTCCGGTGGACGCTTTCTCGTGCGATCAGTTCCGAATGTACGAGTTTAAAGTGAGGAGGTGCGCTCGTGGAAGGTCACACGACTGGACTGAATGTCCGTATGCACATCCCGGGGAGAAGGCCCGACGGAGAGACCCGAGGAAGTATCATTACTCGGGTACTGCTTGTCCTGACTTTCGCAAAGGTAACTGTAGAAAAGGTGATTCCTGTGAGTTTGCTCACGGTGTCTTCGAGTGCTGGCTCCACCCGGCCCGTTACCGTACCCAGCCATGCAAGGATGGTACGAGTTGTAAGAGAAGGGTTTGTTTCTTTGCTCACACGCCGGAACAGCTACGAGTACTGCCTCAGCAGAGTCCCAGGGGAAATGGTTCCGGGTCGGGCGATATGGATTTTATCGGGTCACCAATCCGTCATCGGTTGGAGGTTGTATCCTCGCCAACTTCGATCCTGGCGTCTCCTCCGGTATCTCCGCCGTCTGACTCTCCACCTATGTCGCCGAGCGGATCGTACAACTCGGTGAGTGAACTAGTTTTGTCTATGCGTGGGCTTCAACTAGGTAAGATGAAAGTAGGTAGTCCTCGGGCGCTGCAGATGGGTTCTGGGTACGGGTCTCCCCGAGGAGGATCCTCGCTCCGACCCGGATTATCCAGCCTGCCCACTACCCCGACCCGAACCCAATCCCAATCCCAAACCAGGTCCGTTCTCTGGGATTGCTGTACCTTTGAAGAGGAACCGGCAATGGAGAGAGTGGAATCCGGCAGGGATTTGCGGGCAAAGATGTATGCAAGACTGAGCCAGGAGAACTCGTTGGGTCGTGTGGAACATTCAGGGTCGGGTCCTGATGTCGGGTGGGTTTCCGAATTGGTAAAGTGAAGCTGGGTCGGAAGTTGACCTGTTTCCTTTTTCTTTTTTTCTTTTTTTTTTTGGATTTAATTTTGGGGGAAATTGAAAATTCGGCGGCCTGTGATTCTTCTGACAGTTTGGATATGGAAGTTGGATTTTGGAAATGTGCAGTTGCGTTGTTGCGTGTACATAGAATATGGGGGGAGACAGATCTAGAAGTCTCTATTTTGTGGTGCTTTTTTGGATTTTGAAAAAAAGAAAGGGAAAATTGCAACTTTTGTATAGAAGAAGGATTTGTTAAGGCTGCCGAAGAACTGGTAGCGGTTTGTTGGTATATTTTGTCTACGAATTGTAATTTCCTTGCATATTCTGAATTACGTTTCATGTAATATTCATCCTCTACTAATTCAATGTGATATCTTTCTTCTTGAGTTTTCTTGTCTTGAGCTAAATTACAAAATACAAAGCTTTTTTCTTTTTTCCCTTTTTTTTTCTTTTTTCGTTGAACTACTAAAACAGGTACTGTTTATATGTGGAGCAAAAAGAATGGAAGGATTTGACTTTTTTCCCCAACTGAAAATTAATAGTATAATAAAAAAAAACGTAAAAGGAGGGATAAAATTCTTCGCACAATTTTCAGTGTTACATTTTTTAAAAAATATCAAGTGTTAAATTAATGATTATGAGTAAAATTTTAAAATAAATGGATGAAAGTTAGTTTAATACTTAACTGATTGATTTTTAATTTAAAATTGAGTATAACATGAAATGCTTATTTGTGAATAGCTCTTAAATAAAATGCATAGTGAGTAACACTTTTCATTCAATAATAATAGTTTATTTTGATTTTATGATTTTTAAAATAAAAAATTTATATAAAAAATAAAATTAATACATAAATAATACTTTAGAACTTCTTGAATCAAGATGGGAAAAATACAATTTTTAATCAACATTCTAGGTTATATTTTTACTTA